TTATTTGAAGTTTATACATGAATACAATCAAAGTATCATACTATAAAATATATTGCATACCATTCGTTGGGGAGAAATGGTCGAAGCCAGACAGTACTTGATCTCCAGTGGCTGCATCATTCCCTAAGATAGTTTCCATTTCATCATATCTTGGACAAAGTTTGGTTCTCCACTTCCCAAAATCTGGATTCCCCTGCAAAATGAACTTGTGAGTGCATTTTAAATGTCCCAAAATCATCTATTTATCCAATATCTATTATTAGGAAAGTCCAACATTCGTCCAAATTCGTACCGTAATAAAATCCTCCCAAGTAACAACATCAGCTATAATGCGCCAGTTTCGGGATCCAACCCAAAACTGCTCATATGTAGCAACTGGCGAACTTCGGCATAGTCTTTTTTAAGAGTCTTTAACCTTGCCCTTACATTCTTATCTGAGACCATGACCCCGCATCCATTGAGAACCCTGTCTACTGCCTTAGATACTTGAAATGTGGTAAAGCCATTGTCACTTCGTTTGTGCCCAGCCAACACTTGTTCAACAAATGACGTGATCAAAAAACCATCCATCTCATCACTCCAACGTACGTTACGAGTCTTAGCATTAGGCTCCATTTTCGACCTACCAAAATCAATGGAATTCCCATCCAAAGGGGTGGTCGGTTTGGGAACATGAAACTGGCCAGTCAAGTTTCATCGATTCTGTGCCATTAACGTTGTCACTTGAAAATAAAAAAAAAATCAATATTAGCATAACTAGAAGGAACAACAATATTGCTTCAAAATCAGCTAATAGCGATATAAACCAGGCAAAGAGATTCGAAAATATATGAAAGATGCAAATGTAGATATCCTTGGAAATAAGAAAACACTACAGCATAACAAGTGTCGAAGCAACCATAATAGGAGACAAAAACACTAGCAATTATTTTCCAAAACATTACATGGAAACACAAGTAGTATTGAAATATAATACATAGTAGATTCAATCAAAATCAATTCCCATGTCATGACTTGGATGGTAAGCGGCCCACATTTCATCAGCCATTGTATCCCTATTACTAGACCATGCAGCATTCGCTGTGAAAGATATTGGAGCATTTGGTGTGTCATCTTCTAGTGCATCAACATGTTCAAGGTTAACATCATCATCGCTACTATAGTTGTCCTCATCGCAAAGATCATCTACGTCATAAATCCTTAAGAAGTTGTGAATCGCGCAACAAGCAAGCACAATCCTTGCTTGCGTCTCAATGTCGTGGAATGGTTGATGCCTCAAATATGCGAATCTCTTTTTAAGCAGACCAATAATCCTCTCCACAACATTTCGTAGACATGAATGTGGAAAATTAAACAATTCTTTCTTATTTTCAGGCCGATGTCTGTTAGGCGAAAATCTCGCAA